GCTTTGAAGTCGAATACTTGTGCCACATTTTTGGAGAAAAAACAAACAGGAATGAACTATTTCAAAAAATTAAAATATACAAATTACAATGTCATCTACGTCTGCTAGATAATCAGTTATAATGCGAAGAATGGAGATATCTAAAGAAAGTTTTCTCTTTTACCTACCTAGGTAGGCAGCATCGTTTTAACTACAGGCGGCAAAGGCACAGATGAGGATGTCAAAGCAGATAGGATCGGAAAGACAGCGACATGCCTTCCTGAATTATTTTGAAATCAGTGTGGAGATCTACTGCACTGCTTTGCACTGCACTCAGCATAAAGCGTGAACAAGATCCAGATTTTGAACACTAATTCAATCAAGTCAGTGGTTGGGAGAATTGGTGCGTTACGAGAAGCAGTTCCAACAAACTGCAGACGTACATCACACCAACAGCTGCCGCCTACGTTCACTCGATACTGAAGATCAGATTAGTTCAAATCAGATGACCAGAATAATTAGAATAAGCAAGGAGGAACTCTGGCTGGTAACGAACCAACGAAGAAAGTATTGCCCAATAAATATGCAGAAGGAAGTGGAGATGAATTGAATTGGACATACACTGAGAAGACGGTTTGAGGACCACACGCCAGGCTATCGAGTGCGACCCAAATGGAAAACGACGAGGGTGACATGGAGGAGATCGTGTGAGAAAGAAATGAAAGCTTATGGGCTGTCGTGGAGCCAGGTTCAAAAGACTGCAGACAACAGAGTGAAATGGTGACATACTACTGAAACCCTATGTTCCACTAGGAACCAAAAGCACAAATAACCATAAATAATAATAGTGCAAAGAATGCAAATGGATAAAATCCATGAAATACATATGTAACTACTGTATGACATTAGTAGTTAGAAGCGTCTAATGAATAAGTAACACTTTTCAATGGTCATATGCATTTTTTAAAAGTTAAAATACTAATCTTTTCCTTAAAAAAGAAGTAATCAAATGTAACAATTCTTGATCCCCTTATTTTTTTAAAAAGGAAAATAAAGAAATCCCAATGCAATAGGTAGGTTTATGTGATGAGAGTTAATTAAAGGGAAAAATATATTTTTTATTCAATCAACCCACAAGTTAACATTGTAAAACTAATTGGAAGAAGTAGCATCACATGCAGTTTAATTTCATATGTTAGTATTATTACCGACAAGACAGGTGATGCAATGGTTTAATCATGTGCAATTTATATATGTGTGCATAGTAATTTCAGTGAAAAATAGATATTCAATCTAATAGGGAACTTATACCAATTTGCTCCTATTGTGTAGCTGAGTGGATTTGAAAAGTGAGGCAATAGTAAAACGAAACTAAATGAAATGTCCACTTACAAATTGAAATGAAGATTTTCAGAGTCTGATCAAGTTCACATTACCAATCGATAACCGTCAATAATAATGATAATACTATTATTACTATTATTTACTGATACATGTAATTCTCTACTGTTACATCCAGCTGACAAGTTCCAAATAGGACGAAACGATTGTCCTGGGTTCCACCACTAGCCCCAAGTCAATTATGACCATAAAAATACAGGCAATATCTAAGCATCCGTATAGGAACAAATTTGTCGATAGACGTCGATCAATTCAATTCAATAGAACAATGTAGAATTATCAACACATATTGTACCACAATGACCCAGTGGATAACGCTTTGGCGTTTGTAGCGATGAGTACGACATCACTCACTGAACTGCAGGTGCATTAAACTGACGAGTCCAGAATAGGGCGAAACGCTTGTCCTGGATTCAACTGCTAGACACAATTAAGTCGGTTATTATTATTATTATTACTTTGAGGTGATTAACGAAACATATGGAAGAAATACTCCCCTTTAATAAAGTTGGAAACACTGTCCTTATAGAAAGTAGTTCAATACATATTAAATATCACTGTGTATTTCAACAAGAGCCAAGTGAAACATTTGCAACAAAGATAGACACAAAAAATGACGGAAAAGTTAACGGAAAATAATAGAACGGTTAGAAAAATGTACATCCCTTAAGATACATTCACAAGGAGCTTTTTAGTATCTTAAGAAATACTTTTCCAAGAAAAATACCCAATAAAACTCTACAGCATAATTGCTAACAGTATTGAGTCTAACGAATATATGATAGTGTTTCAAGTCAATAAATTGTATGATTTCAAATACTTCCATCCTTGAAATCATGATACATTATCACATGGAGCTATACCATAAATTGACTACCTTTCCATATCCTTCAGTGTTGGTAAACGATGATTAACATGAAAGTATCTACGATGGAATGCTTTCAAGCTAATGACACAGGTGTTTTATTATGCAATTAAAACAAGAACCAACTTCATGTTTTCTACTGCTGACTGGATCCTACAGATTATTTTGTAACATGGTGACCAAGCTGAGTGAATCGCCATCGCAGGGCTTTTTGACTAGAAAGACGGTGGGACATAGTCGATATGGAGTCTTGAACCTAGGTTACAAGCTTATTGGTAGTTTTCAGTATAGCCTACCTACAAAGTTTAAGAGACTAATATCCATTGAGAGATCTAAACCAGCGTCATCCAGTTGTGCAGTTACATATGTTATCATTGGACTATTCCGACTGTGACTAAAACCTAGAACTAACACTTCCAGTTGATGGCTTTCAACCATCGAGCATGAATTCAAAGTGAACCACAATGTTGACCATATTGGAAAGTGATCAGTGAAATACGGTCAGTAAATAGGATTATACACCGCTAAATGGGTTGATTACTAATAATTAAACAACCTATGTATTTTGATCCTGAATGAAGTCATTTCTGACGTGAAAATCTCAGTGGTAACGCATCTCATTGCAAAGCTACATAACATGGTATCAGATTTGTGAAGAGATATCATTTCCCATGAGGTTTCAGATATGTCTTCTTAACAAGTGTCAACAAACAAAAAGTCTGTATCCAGAGCTTAATGTCAATTGCTTTCAATCACCTACGAGCAGCCTATTGTATATAAAACTAATGAGGTTTAACAAAGACAGTTTTCATAGTCTGTAGTAGCTAAGCAATTTTGTTTACAATCAAGCTGGCATTTATCAACAAAACAGTTTCATTAAATGTAGAGGTTTTCTTTGTTGATTTGGAACACTCCAAACAACTTTTGTAGAGGTAAGAACAATACTTTGTAATGGTATTTGTAGTTTCACGTTGCTATACAGAACCGAATTATTCGACGTCTGTTAGCAGATGGGCTCCTATGAGATCGAGCGATTCGGCCTTGTATAACAAGGGGATGTTAAAAGTACCATTACAACGATTGATACCTATTGCACAAGTGGTGGCTATCATGGCCTAGTGGTTCAGTGGATAACACGCTATCGCATGGTACTAGGTTTGAGCCTCGGTGGGAACAAAATCACTCACTGAGGTGCAGGCATATCCAGCTGACGAGTCCCAAATAGAACGAAACGTGCATCCTGGATTCCTCTGCTAGTCACCAAGATCAATGTAAGAATAACATTTTATTTAGTAGTATAGTTAATACAAACACAAAACTCATATAGTCTCTTCTTAAGAAATAAACAAAAAATTCTATTTTATCTTGTTGTTACATACTGTGCAGCTGAAAATCTACCTACATGAACGAAGTAGAAAATGAAAACAATAATAAAATCTATATAAAAGTAATGTAGCGTATACATATTAACTGCTTGAATGCTTTTTTCTTATCGTCATTGTACATTGGACAGAAGTGGTATACAGCCCATGTTGAAGAAATGGCATTATTTAAGCGTATCACAAAGGATATATATATATATATATATATGTGCACTGAGTATTTATTTCGATAAAAATTTGTGTCTTATTTAATGCGGTAGCATACTGGTCGTATAATAATTAGCCTTGCTGAACTAACAAAACTATGTGATGTAGAAATTAGGTGTAGAGTTTTAAGCAGGAGAAGTTTTGAACCTTTATCAACTGAAATGGCTTGGACATGTGTTACGTTATGTTGGTTGAAGTAGGTTCAGGTTGGAAAAAGTCTCTGGGCGCCCAGACAAAAACAACCCATCAATGCATAAAGTCCTTGACTATTGGTCTGAGCCATGTGCGGCGATGCAGACTAGGTGGTTGGGGTCCGCGGGACAAGAGGAACCAGTGGTTGAAGACTCTAGGTGATATGGCTCAGAACCGATGTCAGTCGCGCAGATGCATACATAAATTATCTTCTTATTTTTCCTTCTTCTCTTTCACTACTTTCTACTTCTACCTCCTTTGATCAGTTTTCCTTCCTTCATCTTCGACTTTATTGTCTTGCTACTTGATGTTTCGATATGAAGTGGGTAACTTGGACCATTACGCAGTAATGCCTAGTCCTATGTTGATCTTGATGCTGATAATGAATGTAGAAGGATGCATCAAGGTGAAGGAAATTATTTACTATAGTGGAATTGAAAAGCGTTATTCTGGTAAAACTTGGGTGCGTAACTTTTGTAAAACCATTCCCGTTTCAGTATTTAATAATGATTTCGAAAATAATATGGGCTAGGAATGAATGTACAGCACAAAGAAGTGCGTTATTAGAATATAGGATGAACAGTCAATTCCGTATACATCAACACCACAATCAAATGTTATCATAATAGTGAAATGAAATGTTGTTTTTATGCAATAGCAAGTGGTACTATGAGGGGAAGGGACTGGCTAGTGAGTGTGGGTTAAAATGCATAAATGAATTCATCCCAAAAATATGACAAAGAAGACACGGACTAAAAAAAATTTGAAATTGGTTCCTAAGAAAACAGTGGTTCTGAGCAATGAGTCCCTCAACTCTGCAGAATTCAGGGTTGAATTTAAAGACACATTTATTTAAAGATCAAAAAATGAGAAATGCTGAAACAAAACTGGTATGTATACAAAGCAAAATTTCAAAACAATAACAACAAACAAACAAAAGACATTTCTTTCGTACATTTAATTAACAGACTCACCCTTCGTATTAAACTTTGACGAAATCTATTCAAATCCGATTCAGATACAGACTGCTCTCCCAATGCTTCACGAATATTATTCACAGCCAGTAGGATGAAATTCTTTCCATTACATGAAAACATAGAACACAATGAGAAATAAAAAAGAATCGTTGTCAAGATGGTATATGTATATTAACTACATGATATTGGCGTGGATAAAAAACAGCAGTCGCAATTCAATAACGAGTTGAACTAACTAATAATGATTTGGTCCATTCCAGCGGCATTACGTTGCAAATTGTAACTCAGCATATCAAGTGATAATGTATCAAGATAAAATATAAAGAAATTTAAGAAGAAAACAGACTTAATTAGTAGAAAGTTGTGAAAACAGAGAGGGAAGGAATGAGACGACAGTGAAATACATTACGATGATTAAGATGATGTGTGGATGCATTTGTTCAATTCAGATCGATTCTGAGTCATATCACCTAGATTCTTTAACCAATGATTTTGGTTGTCACACGGAGTCCCAACTGGGAAGTCTGAATTATTCTACACAAATCAGATTGAGAGTCGAAAATTCAATGGATTCATATTATATTTCAGGTCGGCTACCTTTAATATTACTGAAGTTTGAAGCTGCTCTAACGTTGCGCGATGGGCAGCCACCTGACGTGATAGTACAACGACGCATGAACTAACCTACAAAACTAACCCAGGCAGAACATCTGAAGCCTTCTGACGTCCGCTACCTATAATGGTGGAATTACGCAGCCATAAAATAGAACACGGTGAACTGCAGCGCCGTACATTCGACCGTTAGCAGACAACCATTCAATATCGCTGAACGCTTAAGACGCAGTTCAAGCTAATAAGTGTTCTCAAAAAATGAAAATAGACAGGGCAGTTTTATCGTGGTAAAGATGCTTGTCAGGGCCATTGGAGTCTCAGTAGAAAAGTCAAACCAACTTCTGCATATACATTAATTAAGGTGGATATAAAACATTTCGTTTTGTGAGCCGCCTACTGCGCAGCATGTTACCACTGTGATTTGGAACTGTTTCCATGACATCTTTCCTCAGGATAGTATCGTGTATCCCCAATACCCTTTTATTTGGTTCATTTGCCGTCGTCCATGACTACTACTTTCTCTTCGATACGGCAATTTCATTTATACGTATGAAAAACCCATCTCTAAGTAAAAGTTCTGTAATGCTGTCTATTTTACACCAAAAGTACCTGGGCGGAATGGCGACCTTCAGTCATCGCTACTGTCTTATTGGTCAATCAGCGTCCAAGTAACCTTACTGGTTGTTTCAAAGTCATGTGGTTATTCATAGCTGCTGTTCTTTGTTTCCACCATAATGATTTCAGAGAACATCATTTATTACACAAAGCTTCATATATTTCAACCAGAATGCCAGGTTTGCAGCAAATCACCTTCCAACAAAACATTTTTTCAATCACAAGAAATTTCCTACAACAGGATCGAATCAGTAGTAAAATTTAATTGGTCGATCTCATTAAACCTAAAGTGCATGTATATTTGTAAGGCTTTTACGGATGACTGAGGTTGTGAATATGGGGCAGAATCATTAAGAACGTGTTTTGCGTATGGCAATGATGGATCCATATAAGCCGAATCGAAACAAATGTATTTTGTCTAGGAATAGAGGATATTGTCCAACAACAACCAAAAGAACAATAGCTAAAGTTAACGATGTGGACAATATTAACGAATAAACTAGCAGGCAATAAATATACAAGTGATAGAAATGTGTTACGGGCACGTTAACTTTAAATCCCACTCTAACAGGGACTGAAATAGCCAATTTTGTCTCTGTATTTTTGCTGGATAGGTAGATTTACAAAAAGTCAAGAAGTCTAATTGGTTATTTCAGTTGTTCCTAGGGTGGCCTATAAAAACAAATCTCGCTTGGCTCATTTTCTTAACGGGTAATTCTAAAGGCCACCCCGGCAACTGCTGAAATAACCAATCCGGTTTCCGTATTCTGGTCAGAAAGCTGGTTTGTCATAAAATAGAGAAACACAATTGGTTATCTCAACAGTTCCTAGGGTGACCTTTAAAGTCACTAGTTCTTAACTGGTAACTTGATTTTAATATTGTTGGATAGCTCATACACAGGTTAACAGTTGAATCTTTGGATTACATTCAATCGAATCATCGGAAGTTAATCAGACGTTAATGCTAAGTCAGCAGTAGCAGATCGTGGTAAAAGTATCTAGTTCGGTCAACCAGGCTCACCATCATCCATCCAGATCAACCTAGGACCAGGCATTAATGCGTAACGGTCCGAGTTGCCACTCAGGCTAATCTACAGTTTAACTTAGCCATTGTTATCATCATGATAGATGAATCAGCCACCATGTGGTTCCGTATATTGGTCGGTGAGCCACATTTTCCAGGCGACTTTAAAGGCTAATTAAGTTTCTGTATCTTGTGAAAAACTTCCTTTCTAACCGAAATACCGAAACTTGATTGGTTATTTCATCAGTTACTAGGGTGATCTTTAGTCATTCTTCTTAATAAATACTTTTATTTGAAAACTGAGAATGCAGGTATACAGAAAGAAATAATCGATTGACTGACGCAACTCAAAAACTATTATTGATTTCTCTACTCAACGAAGAACCATACATTTTGTATGCAGGTTAAGAATACTACCTGTACTAGGTTGAAACCCACAACTCAATGGTTATAATTCGAGTGAGTACTTAATCAAATGAGCTATGATAAGCAATCACAAACGGATGACCATACAGTACATGATAAATGTGCACAGGAGAAATTCTAAATAGTTTAGCATATACTAAATTATATTCAGAAAGCCATTTCTTGAATACCTATACAACTTATCCAGAACACATTTGTAAATTTTCTGTTCACTTAAGATATCATTTTATTAAAATAGTAAATATAATGTTCAAACAAATGTGGAGAACATTTCCAGAATAAACAACATATTGTGAAAACCTTATCCTTCAGATTAATACTTATATAAATCCAGAAACTATAGTTTGAACAATACAAATTTTATGTAAAATTTACAGGGAATATTACAACTTGATAATTGGTTAACAACCAGTTAATTTGTTAACAGATGGAGTGAATCAACCAACCGATAAAGAAAGAATCACCAATTTTTACAGTCAGTCCGTCAGTCAGAATACATGCCTCGAATGAAGTAAAGAAACCCTGATGAAGATAAGCTAAATGCAAGATGATAAGAAAAAATCTTGGACTCCTGAAAAAGGTCACATTGATGAAATCATTTTGTGAAATGGAATAATCTGAATCAAAGAATCACATATCCTTAGGAGATTTTATATTGTGTCGACCTGTGAGGAGTACCAGTAGTAACCTATCATAACTAGCTAGACTGCTGCTTACGAATAGGCTTTATGAATGATAACCTACTCAGTCAACTGACACGCACACACACACACACACACAGCCACAATAATGCAAAAGAGTGACTGTCTACAAAAATGTTAAGCTTCTCTGAAGCAGTCAACATTATCAACGGAAAATATCAGAGAAGAGACTAGTGAGTCCTTGGGACATTAGTCATCAGTAAATTTACATCCATCGAACCAATATTACGTGAGTTACGTCCAGTGGGATGATGATACGGGCTATCACTTTTGTCACATTTATCAAAAACGTTCCATACACTGAACAATGACCAGTTATATTGGAAGGTGCTTAAACAATATCAAGGTTTGTTAAACAAAGGTGGAAGACTATTCCCTACAATTATTTGTCTTAACGCCTTTCGTTTTCAGGGTTAATCAGTACATATGAGTAAAAAGTTGTTCTTCGTCTATTCAAGTCATCTATCATGTTATATGTATATGTGGGCAACTGAATACCAGTTGGATCATGTAGCTTGACTGGTAGATCGCCGAACTGGTGATCTACTGGCCGCTGATTTGAATCCTACCGCGATTAAGGTCACCTAGTATCAGTAATATCAAAGCCTTCCAAACTAGGGTCATCTAAGATAGTTTCAAGACATAAAAATTACCCATAGCGGTTTTCCCATTTTTTGATTAACTTTGAAATATCAAATTACATACATTTTTATTCACTCTAATGATGATATAAAGTTTGAAATACTTTTGTATTACAGTTTGTTACACTTAAAAATAAAACATTGAATAAACTTTTTTGAGATTCACGATTACAGAATGTTTTAAGATCACTACTGTTAAACTTCAACTGACAATGATGCTGTCTAACTTCATATACAAAAAGTGTTTCAGTTAAAACTCAAACTTTGTGAACATTTCATAAGCAAAAATTAAGTGCATTAACATATTATTACTTACATCCATATATTTTTTAACTAGTTGATCAACGTCACGATTAATAAATGGTTGTAAAAATTTTCTTAATAGGCGTAAAGTTGATTTTGCATCTAAAACAAGTCCAGTGTGTCTAAAATAAATATAAAAAGAAGAGACAATAGGTAAATTATAACAGTGATATAAATTTCACAGATAAGATATGTATATGAAATCGAGATTTTTTCAGTAGCCTTTTGTTGATGATAAAAGTGCTCGGGTAGGTGTAGCTATGGCTTGTTGGTTTAGGAAGTTGACTTTCAACTAATGGGTCCCTAGTTCGAACCCTACTCCATCCACCAAGGTTTGGGCAGTCAGGTGTGCTTTATTGCCTACTGCCGAATGCATTTCAATTCGATAGGTGGAGCTGGGTTCAAAACTGTGACCAATCGACTGAAAATCAAGTCCCTAAACCAATATGCCACAGCCCCATTAGATATGTATACAGCGGGCTTCTAGGTTGAATGAATAACCGACATAGTATTGGTAAAACTATAAAACGTAAACACTTTATTCTTAATTTCATTGTCAGATTTTTTTCAACTGCTTGTATTATAAACAGGTTAGGATGAAATAATTAAAAAAACCCTTAAAGAATTGAGGATAACACTGAACAAAGTATACAAATAAGTTCTGTATCATTAAATAACAGAAGTAATAGGATAACTATTGGACATTAGGAAAATTGTAGACAGTTTCTTAACAAAGATATGCACAGTTTGAACGAAGTATTCCCTGAGTAGTTGTTCGAGGTAAACGATGTTCAGACTTGAAGCATTACGACATCCATTATGATTATTTTTCTTCATTATATTACAAATTCGCATAGTGTAGATTAAAATTTTGTAAGATACATGCATGCGTACACGAAACCAGATGAAAGGAAACTGACGAAAAATCTATGGTAGAAAAGTGGTTGATAATCGATAATAATAATAATAATAACTTCGTTTTCCACCTATATATATGTATGGGAGTTGAGATACTATCCCAGTATACAAACCGAAGTAGGGATTCGCAAAAATAGCTTCATCAATCTCATCAGGCTGGTGAATTATTAGATCAGTGCAAAACAAAAATTCAGTTGAGGTTCACTAAATAACTCCATCTTCGTAATACATAAATATTCCTTAGATAGTCAAAAGTGGAGTGCACAATTCAGTAGAATATCGTTTAATGCTAACTACCTACTCAACTGCATTATTTTATATTATTTGTTTATAATACTGTGATGAGTACTATCCTGTAATACTTGCGTGAGACATAGTTACTGAAGGATAAACACATGAGGTTGAATATGTTTGAAGCGCTTTCTGTTTTGTGAAAAAATCAGGCGATTCGAGATTCAATGTCCACTGAAAGATATGTAAGAGAAATCAAATCATCATTGACTGAATACTGATTGAAGAGTCGGAGCTATGAATTACACAATACAAACTCTATCAACTTTTTTAAGAAGTGGTGTTACACGTAGCTGAAGAAGCCTTAGCTTTCGGTTTTTACTCAATCACCATTCTGACTATCTGGAATAGCCGGAGTTCGGCAGATTAGTATTAATCCTGGGTGATGATTGAAGATGAAATAAAAATTTGGACTACGATTGAATTCGAACCAGCGAATAATCGCCGAATCAATTTATCAACTAATGAACAGTGGCGAAGTGTCCTACCAAAATGTCAAACAGTCTCAATCAACTAGAATAAAATGGTGGTATTCACATATTTAACTGGTCAAAAAAGCCTTTCGATTAGGATATGAATAATCCAGTTTCAACAAACTGAATATATAAATACGAAGTATAATAAAGTCTATACTATAAATACAAACAGAGACTGAATTATTCACATAAACAGATAGTTTTACACCCACATAAAAAAAGCCTTGTCACTTACCTTCATATCAATGATAAAAACTTAATGAATGCACAAACTTTATTCATCTGCATACAATGACTATTTCACCTGATCATTTCTTTTTATAGGATGTAATAACTTGGTGTAGATTTCAGTTTCTAGAAAAAGTGGTTCCTATACTTTTTACCACAATAGTGAAAACTATACATTTTAGATGTGATTAGAATTTGGTGACTGTATAACTTTTATGATATGACCATCTCTGTCAGATGTGAACCGAATTAGAAACTTTGAGCTTCAATATAAGAAATTTATGATTGAAGGCTTGAAGTAATTTAAATTCAAGATCCGGATTTTCAACAACAATGTCAGTCAAGTAGTCTCTTCCATCTACCTAGGCAAGGCAGCATCGTTTCAACTACAGACGGCACAGACAAGGATGTCAAAACCACGATCGGAAAAGCAAGACAGGTTTTCAATAATATGAAATCAGTGTGGAGATCTAATGCACTCAGCACAAAGAACAACACCCAGATTTTCAACAACAATGTCAGTCAAGTCAGTGCTGCTATATGGTTCAGAAACTTGGCGTGTCACGAAAATCACTTCCAACAAACTACAGACATTCATCACATCAACAGCTGCCACCTACGCTCGCCAGATACTGAAGATCAGATGGATTGTCAGAATAATAAAAGTACGCAACAGGGAACTCACTCTGGCCTGGCAACCAACCAACCAACCAAGAACCTATCGCCCGACAAATATGCAGGAGAAACTGGAGACGAATTGGATTAGGCGTACACTGAGAAGGCCGACTGTGGACATCACGCGCCAGACCAGTCCCTCGAGTGGAACCCAGGTGGGAAAACGACGAGTTGGGTGTCCGAGGGTGACACGGAGGAGACCATGTGAGGAAGCAATGAAAGCTTGTGGACAGTCGTGGCGCCAAGTTCAAAAGACTGCAGAGAACATAGTGCAATGAGACATGCTACTGAAGCCCTATGTTTCACTAGGAACCCAAGGGATAGATGATAATATAATAATAATAATAATAATGTAACTGCTTTGTTGATAAATTAAACACGCTAATGTATACCTCCTTTTTTTGTTATTTCTTTTTTTCAAATTCAGTTAGATATTTTGTTACTTCTAATACATTCTATCACGATAATGAGAATACAGGAACAAAATTGTTCATAGTATTTGCTCTATCTGTCTAGCTGCTTTCCTATCTCTCGTTATACAGTATGGATAATAAATAAGGCTTGGAATAGTCGGTAAACCGCGTATTCAATCTCTAAGTTTATAAATTACCTATGAGGATCAAAGTTCCGAGACGGTAAATTGATTGGTCCACTGGAACGCAACCAATTCCATGTTCTTTCGTCCTGAATGCTGATCGGATTCTATTGAAATAGAGTATTTCTTTAATGTTGAGTGGTAGAAGACAATCGCCTGGGAAGCCTTGCACATTCGTTTTGTGCATATGTTGGCACTAGTTACCGGGGTGTTTCTTTGACAGATACGAACCAGTGTCACTAAGTGCTGCAACCAGGGAAGACACTACTAAGTTATTCGAGACACAACTGACCTCTTGCAGAGGTGATTAGTTTTTTCAGGGTTAAAAAGTTTCCTATTGTCTAGTTTCAAATGATAAAGGAATTCTATTCAATAATTTGATAGACTTGAAAATAAAACTCAAAAGGCTGCAAGATTATATTGATGATATCCAGTTATAACAATAAAAACTAATACATAACAAAAGTGGGTTACTAATAGCAAACATAAGTAGTACAACACAAACAAGAAGTCAATTAGACACAATATGATGTTGATTGACAGTAAAACCTAGCATATGTTTCGTTACACTAACAACACCTCAGATGAATTCATCTGAGGTAACTTACCAAGATATGAGGCGTTTCCTCACTTTACGTTTGTTGCAACTTTCATAAACACTTTCATTTGGAAGATGTGGTTGTCACTGAGATGATAAGCAACTGAATAGGCTTCAAAATCCTCTGGTGAGGTTATAGGTGCTCGGTGCTGAGGAATTCTATACTAGAACGAAACAACTGTCAAGTGCTCAAGGGTTTTCAGTGACTCTGTAACTGATGTCAGTCTGTAATAGATACCAGCCTGAAATTGACCAATCCCAACAAACTTCCGAACTGAAAGATTTTTCAAAATGTTTCCGTAATCCCTTCCAGATATCTACTCATCAAGTGTATGGCTGACCAATCTTTTTTATCGAAAGTTTGGTTAATCAGAGTCGTTTGAAGATCAATCTTTCAATAGATCAATAAATCTGATGACCATTATCTAATCATAATGATGATTCGCTATGAACATCTTATAGACGTTGTGAAAACTTTTGACAGATCTGCGTTTTAGTTGCTTTAGTGTCTTCATATACTCTAGGATAGTCAGGATGAGTTTCCTTGCAACAGAGGTTTAAGACGGGATTATATAAATCCACTGGTCAATTTCATCATTCCGTTTCTACTGTTTAGTGTATAGAAGACTAAACACAACCCCCCAGATTAAATCATGTTAAACATAACCATCAGAATGAACCCATTCGATTAAATGAAAAGAGAGATGATTACAGAGAAGAAACTTTTTCTTTCGATGGACTTATTCTTTCAACTGTGCAGTTGTGAACATATAACATAAAGGATAGAACATTTCAGAATGATTTCCGGCCGAAGATTAAAATATTTGTCATAAAAACAGTTATGCAATATATGTAAGGGTTTAGTATAGGGAAGTAAACAAATGTGAGGTTGTGGCTCAACGATTTAGGGAGCTGACTTTCAACCAATGGGTTATGGGGTTCAAGGATGGTTCCACCTGCCGAGGTTTGGGAAGCCAGATAGAATCATTAGCCTTCGTACAATAGGTGTGGCCTACTGCACGGATGTGCGGAAGATTACTGAGTGCGTTTCGATTTCGAGTTAGGCAAAATGATCAGGCAATAAAATAGAAATACTTAGTAAGAGAACTATCTCCAGTGATCAATCCTTTACGACAACCATGGCAAAGAAGTAGGTTGTATAAACACCTTCTGAAAGGACAATAAAGGTTCGTACTTTTGAATTGCCAACGTCTTATCTTTATTCTTTTCGGGTGGCTTGGTGTCACTTTATACACAATTTCGAAGAACTTACCAAAGCAATCAAATGTCCTGACTTAGCAAAGTTTTACATAATTGAGTTAAAACTGAGTTCGTGTTCTC